CCATCATATGTTTGCAATGTGGTCCCTAGTGCCTCTTCCTTTCCTAAAACTCACTTGAACCTCTGGGATTTCTCTCTCCATGTATGGTTGGTGTCTATGTTGCAGAATTTTGAACATGATTTTGCTTGCGTGGGAGATCAGTGCAATGATCCTATAGTTGCTGCAGTCTCTTGGGTCTCCCTTTTTGTGGAGAACTTCCAATCTGTGGGCCATCTTTTTGTTTTCCATATCTCTTGACATATGTTGGTCAGCACTAGATTTGACTCTGTCAATGTGGATTGCAGCAGTTCTGTTGAAATATTGTCTCTTCCTGGTGATTTTTCCCCCGCTATTTCTCTAATTGCAGTTTCCACCTTGCTTTTTAGAATTTGGGGTTCATCTTCATATGAGTGTTCATTCCATGTGTCCTTTACTTTGTCATCTCTTTTGCATAATTCTTCTGTGTATTGCATCCAATGTCTTTTTATTTCTTCCTGGTCTTGAATTATGTGAATTAAATTGAATTAAAGACAACTATAACACCTAAAACATGTAGTACCTGATGCTTTTGTTAATTCCAGAAAGCAGCCTTATTCATAATTCTTATGTCACAGAAGCAATACTGGAGGAGGAGATGGAATTATCTCCACTTGTATGTGACTTATGGTGACCCCATATATTTCACAGGGTTTTTTTAAAGGCGAGGAATACTCAAAGGTGGTTTTGCTAATCCCTTCCTCTAAACTATAGCCTACATTTCATGATATTTGTTGACATTTGTTGACATTTTCCCATCCAAATATTAACCAAGGCTGACCCCATTATCTTACAAGATGAAATGAGATCTGGTGACTTTAGGGTATTGTGTTGTATTGTTGTGAGCCTTTAAGTCAGGGGTAGGCAACCTTTCCCCTTTAAGGGCCGAGGGACTTCAGCTCCCAGAATCCCAGGAGCTATTGGCTAACATGGGACTATTGGCCAACATGGCTGAGGTTTCTGGGAGCTGAAGTCCCTCGGCCCTTAAAGGGGAAAGGTTGCCTACCCCTGCTTTAAGTCATTTGAGACTAATGACAGACTATCACAGGCTTTTCTGGGGCTGAATGTGTGACTTGCCAAGGCCACTCAGTGGATATCCATGGATGAGTCAGGAATTGAACCCTGACCTTTAGAGTTGTAGTCCAATGCCCAAACCACTACACCACATTGGATCTCTTTATTTTTCTCTTTATTTAGGGTATTGAGACTTATCTAATACTGATTGATAGAGAGCCAATGTGGTGTAGTGGTTTGAGCATTGGACTAAGACCCTAGATACTAGAGCAGGGGTAGGCAACCTTTCCCCTTTAAGGGCCGAGGGACTTCAGCTCCCAGGATCCCAGGAACTATTGGCCAACATGGGACTATTGGCCAATATGGCTGAGGCTTCTGGGAGCTGAAGTCCCTCGGCCCTTAAAGGGGAAAGGTTACCTACCCCTGTACTAGAGGATGATTCCCTGTTCAGCCATTGGAATCCACTAGGAAATCTTGGGTGAGTCAAACACCCTGAGCCCCAGAAAACCTTACCGAAAAATGTAAGGTTCATCTTAGGGTCACCATATGTCAGATATGACTTGAATGTGCACAACAACAGCAAATACTAATAACATATTCATTGCAGTAACATTTGAAGAAATGCATGATTCATACTTTGTGTGTTGAATGTTTTGGATGAGAAATTTCTTTTAATTATCAGCACAACAGATAATTAACTTTCAGATATCTGAAGTACAAGGTGTGTTGATGGCCACCAACTTCAAGATATTTTTTTTAATTTATATTTTATTAACATATACTATTCAGACATATCT